GTGACCTTTGCTTTGGGCATGGTCAACAGATATCAGGGGAACCCTGGTAGAGCATATTGGATCGCAGTCAAGAATATTCTTAAGAACCTTAGGAGGACTAAGGAATGGTTTCTTATCCCCGGTGGGAGTGATGACTTAAGGGTGCGAGGGTATAGTGATGTTAGTTTTCAGACCGACCGTGACAACTTCCGCTCTCAGTCGGGCTAGGTCTTTACCCTGGACTTGGAAAACTTCCAAGCAAGGACCGTAGCTGATTCAACGTGCGAATCATAGTACATAGCAGCAAGCGAAGCATCAAAGGAGGCGATATGGTTGAAGAACTTCATCGGAGACCCTGGAGTTATGCTATCCATAAAGGAGCCTATGGAGATTTTCTGTGATAATGAAGGTACGGTTGCCTTATCCAAGGAACCGAGGGGTCATGGCAGATCCAAACATATCGACAGGAAATATTATTTTATTAGACATCGGGTAGAAGAGGGACTCCTCTTAGTGAAGAAGGTATCGTCAGAAGATAACCCAACAGACCCCCCCCCCCCATGAAGGGATTGATTAGGGTTAAACACTTGCAGCACGTTAGGAGCATTGGTCTGAAGGACGATATTAGTTTTAGTGATTCAATAGATTTTAGAAACTTGTAATATCAAATTGTAATTAACATTTGATGATTAAATAAAAGTGTTTTATTTATAAGTAAAGTTATTGTCTTGTGTTAATTATTTACTATTGTTTCACTTTGCATGTTTTGAGTTCCTAAATAATAAGATTATTTAAACTGTCCACCATCGTCCATATGTTGGAAGTAGATATGAAAGAATATTGCCATGAATTGGCTTGTAGACTGTCTAAAGTGTATTAGAGATAGAAAAAGTTTGTTGCAACATCCATGAGTACTTATAAAATAAGATTTGAGTATTAGATTAGACCCACACTCACTTGAATCACTTCATGGAATTAATCACGAGTGATTGTGAGACGATAATATCATATAGTCTTTAAACCTAGATACATTGTTTATTGTTTGCTAGTTGGTTGTGAATTGATAATGCGTAAACGTATTCCACCATCGTCCATATGTTGGAAGTAGATATGAAAGAATATTGGCATGAATTGTCTTGTAGACTGTCCAAAGTGTATTAGAGATAGCAAAAGTTTGTTGCAACGTCCATGAGTACTTATAAAATAAGATTTGAGTATTAGATTAGACCCACACTCACTTGAATCACTTCATGGAATTAATCACGAGTGATTGTGAGACGATAATATCATATAGTCTTTAAACCAAGATACATTGTTTATTGTTTGCTAGTTGGTTGTGCATTGATAATGCGTAAATGCATCAGTAACTTGATATTATAAAACGCATTGTTGTGTATGATTTGATGAGTAAATGGTAAACACATATAGGTCAAAGTTTATCTATTCCTTTTATCCTACGAGGGTAAAAGCGATATCTGGGGTCCCTCGATGATTTGGTTTGACTTATGTATCGGGCCCGGTCAGGACTGAGTTGATGTGTTCAATAAAGTTCTATGTTAGACGAATCAGCGATCGAGAAACAAACTGCTGGACAATAAGTATGACTATGTTCCATGTGATTGTCCACACGATATCTTGAGAACGGAGGACTATACGATCACTTATCTAAAGGATGTGTCAGAGTTCGACAACGACTTTTGAGAGCTACGATTGCTAATCAGATTTTGAAGTCGTACTTACATCTATAGTTATTAGACTTATCTAAGTGGGAGACTGTTGGATTAATGTTTAAGTCTATAACTAGAGTTTAGTATGTACTTTACTCGGTTGTAGCATGGTCCTTTTGGGTTGCCTTCACCAGAGAAACTTGACTGGATGATTAATTTTAGAAAGAGGATGTTATGGCTTATTAAAATATTATATGAATAATATATTAAAGGAGAAATCATACTTATTTAACTTATATTGGTCAAGAATTAATTAAGAATTAATTTTGTGAACAAAAGATATTAATTGAACTTTCGGGACTAAATTGTAATTATTGGATAGTTACAAAGTAGGTTGAGAAACCCTAGGGATAGGGTGGACGAAATCCTGATGGAGAGCCCATAATATTTCGTCCAAGGTAGGGGTCCAAAAGATTCTTATGGGTTGCTTGGTGGCTAAGTAACTGGATAAGGACTCTGACTGAAATCCCAATCTCACACCTATATAAAGGACCCATATGCTTCATATTTCGGCTACTACTCGAATCCTAGAGATCCAAGAGCCGGTTTTGGTGTTTGTAATTCATTAGAGGAATCGCATTTGACGTGCTAGGTTCTCATAAGCTAAAGATCTTCAAGCAACAATCAAAGGTAACATTCTTACTAGGTTATTTATGTTGATTTAAAGTTTTTGTTATATGCTAGATTAGGGTTTGCACGTCTTGGACAATTATGCATGTATAATTAAAAAAACTAGATCCAAGCAATTAGGGTTTGCATGAACACCATAGGAATGTTGTTTTATTCATAACCCAACAATATAGTCATATTAACTTAATCAAATTAAGCAATAAGTAGAGAAACTAGTTATCAAAAGTACGTGAGGTTCTTTAATAAGCTAAATCAAAAAATATCCAAATAACTAAATCCAATCCAAAAATTCAACCATAATTAAACAATCATTCCTAGGCTAAATAAAAATCATGAGTATTTAGCTCATGATTTTAGGAAACAAGAACATAAAATCGAAATTCAAGGTGTTTGGCAAGGCTAAAACTAATGAAAAGTTAAAGTGTAGAGATTGGTTGTCTTAATTCTCCTACTCCCAAGGTTATGATCAAATTCCTTGCTTCCAAGCCTTAGAACAGGTGTTCTTCCTTCAAAAGTGTTGAGTTATTTCAAAGCCAAAAGTCTCCATTTGGAGGAGAATGTGGTCTATTTATATTTTTCCCAAATTCAGAGCACCACGAAGGCCACCACGTCGTGGACTTCGTGTTTATCCCGTCTTCTTCAAGTCTTCAAAATCAATAAGGAATCTTCAAGTCACCACACTGTGGTAAGCCCACCACGATATGTTGGGTAGATTTTTCTTCATTTTTAAGCTTTGATTCAAACTCCAAACTTTCAGCATCCAGCTTCCAGCTTCCTTTTTGCTCCAAGAATGTCTTTCATCCATACAACACATTTCATAACAAATTAAGTACCTTTTGTTCAATAAAGGGCATAAGAGTAATTAAAAATATTAAGAAATGATGTATAATTATGTGTATAGCTATGCACATATCAAAATACCCTGCACTTCTTCTCTGCTTGCCCTCAAGCAAATTGATTTTTATTATCTCACCGCTATCGTACAAAACAATTCGTTTCAAACCCAGCTATTATCCCAAGACTGCAACACATGTATTTGTGTATATAATTCTAAGAACTTCCCATTCCTAAATACTCATAATTCATATGAACCGTAACCCGTTAACTTATATGACATTCATTTTTGCAACCCTCCGAATCAATCCTCAGAAACCTTCCTTAACCTCAAGGTATTTTTTGGCTAAACAACCGAGCATACATAATTTCTAGAAATTATAATTCAGATACCATAATGGAGCTCTATGAATTCTTCACTTTGTTTGTTTTTTTGGTATCTTTAACATTTGGATTCTTCAGAATTTTTGATCTCCAAAATTCTTGAACTTTTTGGTAATTTCACTCTTTTTTTACATTCATCTTACTTTTTTTTTCCACTCAAATCCAACATGATTAAGCAAGGATATTAACTTCACCATTTATTGGTTAGAGGCATTAGTCTAAGTGCAATGACTACTTAAGCTTTCCTGGATAGATTTCAGGTTTAGGCTGCAGAACTTGTTACACCATATAAGCTACCAGATTACATTTCACACTTCATGACTTTTCACTAGGAAATGGGAAGCCACAAATACACTATAACATATATTGGCTCAAGTAAACATTTGGGATCTCTACGAATCATCCCAACCAAGACTAGCAACAATTGTAATTAGATGAGGTTTCCTAACTTAAACCATTATTTTAAGTCTATATGAATGCAAAGTTTGAAAACTAGCCATGGAATTTTTTTGAAAAATCAAATGCTTTTTCTCATGTAATACACCCCTATCCCACACTTATTTCATGCAATGCCCTCATTGCATGCTATGTAAAACATATAATTAAAAAGAGGGAGTAAAAGGAACAGACTCCCCCAGGATAGAAGATGCATGCCGAATCGTGTGTAGGATCGCTAGCTTGCTCTAAAGTGTGGAAATGGAATTGGTTTGTACAATGGCAACCTTCTTATGTGATGCAAAACTCCCCCACGACATAGGAAAATGTCAACCATGTTGTGGCAGTTGGTACAATACTTCAACATTGCGTGAAAATACAAATTTGTGGTGTGGGAACAGCTCATCCAAACCATGGGATTGAATTTATAATTAGAAACGCCACTCTTGAACACTTAGACTTTGGAGAATGCGAAATTAGATCCGAAAATGGACTCGAAAAGCACCTCCTTGTGGTGGCTCAAACAGATTAATATTATGGTATTCTTATTGCGACAACACGACGTGGTGAAGATTACCACGGCGTCTTGGTCTTGAAATGTCAATAGTATGTGCAGAAATGAACTGATTTCTACAATATGTGTGGCACCAACTAATGTATGTATCTTCTAAGCGTGACTCCCTACTTATTGATTTAACTAAACACCCAAAAAATTGCTCAAATCTCGCTTCTCTCGTCGTTTTCTAATCCTTGTCTATAAAGAACCTCCTTTTGTGGTAAATACCCTCACTTGGACTCTAAAAATAATACCTGGTAGGCTGAAGCAAAGAAATGAAAGTAGGAAACTTAGTCTAACATCCAAACCCATAAAGAAATATTCAAACAACTAAACACAATAAAGTAAAAACATAAAAGAAAAAGTCTTTAATCCACTAAAACCAAAGGATAGAACTCTCAATCTTCATCATCTCCATGACCATTTCCTCCTCCACTACCTCTTGCCCTGCCTTTCTATTCACACCACAACTCCTCCCATCTAGGCACATAAGGGTATAATGTAGGAAAATGATCTCGTCTAGAGAAGTGCAACTGCTGCATCATATAATCCTGAGTCATATTGGTACAGTTCCTGCTTCGCGCCAAGTTGTCATCAAATCTTCTTTGCACAACACTATAAGGGTCCATGGTCATCTCATCCTTAGTCGGTACGACTGGCGACTCATCTCCTACGGGTCCCCTTGCTCTTTGTCTCACCCGCCTCCTGGGTTGGTCACAGGGAGTGTCATCAAGAATAGAAAAACCACCCACCCCATGATATCCAATAATAGTTGCTCTTTGGTATACGAGAGTAGAGCATGGTTTATGAGTTTCCACAGTCAAAAGCAAGGCCTCACATTTATCAAGAACTCCAAAAAAATGCGTAAGTCGCATGATCAACATACCACCATAGAGCGGAAACCCTCGCTTATCCTTGCCCACCCGTTCCACAAGAAATTCCACCAAAAGGAAGGGTAAATAAACATGAGCATTGGGAGAGATAAGGGCCTACAAGAAAAATACGACCACAGTTGGGCACTTATCCCCCTCCTGGCGCTGATTGATGGTATTCGTGATGAGGCGATGTAATAGGCGATGAAGAGGAGAGTGAATGTAACTCTCTTGCGCAATCCCTTTTTCGTAAGCTCCATTTGCAATTTCGTTCCAGTGTGCTTCTGCCTTAAAACCCTATGTAATCCGCACACAATCAGTCATATGTTGAAGATATGCTTCAGAATGGACCTTGAATGGAAAATAAATCTCCGTCCTTAACGCAAAATCAGCCTGGCTAAGAGCACGCCTTTCTCTGCCCAGGCAGAAAGTAAGATTGTCTTTATCATAAATACCATCCTTCCTCTTGAAGAACACAGTGGCCAAGAACTCAACAACCAATTCCTTGTAGACAACTTCTTGAATTTGGAAACTACGCCTCCAACCCATGCAAATGAATTGCCATGAACTCCATCAAAAGAATTGTCGAGATAGGGCTCAATTACTTTCATTAATCCAGTTTGGCCAAGCCAATGCCAATCCATTACCATAGGCACATGGACCTTTCATTGTTTAATCCACTCCACTTTTCCATTCCATCTCGCAAGAGTTTCGAAACCAACATTTCTTGGAAAGGTGTATCACGGGAAATCGGGGTGACTCTTGGTTTGGTTGCATCGTGGACGACTACCCATGGCTGCAAAAGAACCAAAAACAACACCCAAAGAAACCATTTGCAAGATTAGGATTAGAACAAAACAAAATTGGTCTCAAAATGTCCACCACATCGTTGACCATGATAAGTCATCGTGGTCGACAAATTGTTAGATTTTGTGGGTGAAATCGAGTCGTAATGCACACAATATCAACTCAAATAAACTTCAGGGTTTGTTCTATGGATGAAATCAAGTAGGATAGAAACAAAATCTAGGGAAAACATGAATAATCGAGTCCGGTTTTTGCAAAAATCGGAACACTAGGTTCTTAATTTCGGCCCTAAATGTGTTCTAAACAACAAATGTATACCGTATACTAGCATAATAAGCGCATAAAAGTAAGGAAATCACACATAAATCATACCTTCTAATTGAAAAACGCACGAAATTGAAGGAAGGATCGGGATGTTCTTCGTGGGGAAGTTAGTCACGGCAAGAGAGTGGCGGAGTAAAAAAAATAAGACTATTGTTTTGACTGAGGTATAAAAACCCTAATTTGACTGCAGTTAAATCGACACCACGTCATGGAGAATTCACCACATCATGAAGTCGCTAAAAAACATATTATCGGATATGTGATGTTTCCTAAAAATAATTTTGTATCGGTTAAAATGTTATAAAATTATCCACCACACTCGTTTTATGACGTTCCCCATGTCGAATTCCATAGAAATCTAGAGGAATAAGACGTGAAGAAAACAAAAATAAAGAAAAATAAAAGAAACATAAAGATAAATGCAAACTCAAAATCACAGGTTGCCTCCTGCAAGCACTTCTTTTTGGGGAGTCATGAGTCGGACTCCTTTCCGCTTCACGTTGTTTCAGCTCGTGTGAATTTGATGATTTCCCCCTCTTTTTCTTCAATTGACATTCCTTCTTCATAATGCTTCACTCTAATTCCATTAACTTTGAAAAAGGTTCTGCCTCTTGATATAAGCTCGATAGCTCCATGTGAGAAAACTTGTTTAACAACAAATAGCCCGTCCCACCTAGTTTGTAATTTTCCTGGAAAAAGCTTTAATCCTGAATTGAAAAGTAGCACATTTTGTCCCTCGTGAAAATCCTTATGGCCTTTTAATTTCATGTCATGCCATTTCTTACTCATATCATTATATATTAATGAACTAGTGTATTCTTCGTTTCTAAGTTATTCAAGGGCATTCATTTGCATCAATCTATTGGTACGAAGTTCAGCTAGTTCAAAATTACATAGCTTCAAAACGCAAAATGCCTTATGCTCGATTTTAACTGGCAAGTGACAATTTTTTCCATAAACTAACCTATATGGTGTAGCCGGTGAAAATACACCGCTCACTACGAGGTTTGAGCTTGTCGTGAGTCTCGCGTCTCACGAAAGCCTCGCAACCCCAAACCTTGATATGGTCGAATGTGGGAACCTTCCCAGTCCACATCTCGTGAGGTGTTTTGGAAACCTTCTAGGTAGGGACTAGACTAAGGATATGGGCGACAGCCTCTAAGGCATACTCCCAGAATGAGATTGGTAACGAAGCTCGACTCATCATGGAATGAACCATGTCCAACAAGGTTCGATTGCACATATCAACCACACCATTCAGCTATGGTGTCCTATGAGGTGTCAATTGTGAAACAATTCCATATTCTTTAAGATAGTCAAGGAAATCGATACTAAGATACTCACCACCCCGATCGGATCAGAGCATCTTTATCGTCCTGCCCAACTGATTCTCCACTTCTTGTTTAAACTCTTTGAATTTCTAAAAGGTTTTTGACTTATGCTTGATTAAGTAGAAATAACCATATCTACTGTAATCATCAGTAAAAGTCACATAGAAGCGATTAGTATCCCTTGTGGCGGTTTTGAAGGGCCCACACACATCGGATGTGTATGAGATCTAACAAACCCTCATCCCTTTCACAAGTACCGGTGAAGGGTGATTTGGTCATCTTTCTAAGTAAGCAAGATTCGCAAGTGTCATCCGACTTTAAGTCGAATGACTCTAAAAATCCAACCTTTTAGAGTTGGCCTATGCGTTTCTTGTTGACATATCCAAGACGATAATGGCACAAGCATGACTTATGCAATTCATTGGAAGAATCGATATGCAACACATTATTTCCTAAATTATCTACAAAATTCACAGTTTCATATACACCATTACAAGGTAATTCTTTAAAATAAAAACACCATTATAATAAGCATTTATAGCACCAATTTCATTGTCAAATGAAAAACTACAGCCTTGTTTGTACAAACCATGAAAGGAAATAATATTTCTCGCAATTTCAGACGAGTAACAACAATTATTAAAATCTAACTCTAACCCACTACTAAGCAATAATGAGTAAACTCCAATCTTGGTGACAGGTGAAACCTTCCTATTCCCCATGATCAAGTTTATCTTCCCGTGCTCCACATCCTTACTTCCTTTTAGGTCTTACACATCAGAACAAATGTGAAATCCACAACATGTGTCAAGAACTCAAGAGTTAGAATGTGATGAGTTTTTATATATAATAATATAAATACATGCATGGGTGGGTTTAACCTTCCCATCCTTGACATCCTGCAAGTATTTAGGGTAGCTTCGCTTCCAGTGCTCTATTTCATGGTAGTAGAAACACTTTGCTTCCTTAGGAATGGAAAAGGGAGCAGCATAACCAACCTTGGTCCCACTTGAAGAGGATCCATCAAGAGAATTTCCCTTGCAACTCTTTGAGGGAGCCTTCCTCTTCTTCCCTTTCCCTTGTCCAATTTCCAGAACAGGGGCATTTGCGGTAGGAGTAGATACAACATTTTTATCTTTGAGACCACTTTCAGCAGTCCTCAAAATCCCTTGAAGTTTGCTAAGTGTGATCTCCTCCTTGTTAATATGATAGGTCATGCAGAACTGATCATACCATGAAGGTAAGGAGTGTAGAATGATATCTATGGCCAGCTCCTCAGGAAGGTTGACATTTAATTTTAGTAAACGGTCCACAAACATTTGGGTTTTCTGCAAGTAGTTCGTGATGGGCTCACCATCCTTCATCTTTGTTGTAATCATGGAGCTGATGATTTCATACCTCTCTTGACGAGCACTCTAATGGTATCTATCCATCATGTCCTGGTGCATCTCAAAAGCATAAAAGTCCTCATAGGACTTTTACAATTCAGTTGTCATGGTGGCCAACATGATAGAAGACTCATTGGTGGCATCCTTCTCATGTGCCCTAAACTCAGCGATCTCACCAGGAGTAGCAGAAGACTCGTCAATTTCCTTTAGCTCCTTGTCGAGGACATATTCCTTGTCCTTATAGCGAGTGACCATCCTGATGTTCCTAATCCAACCATTTAAAACTAGTACCATCAAAGATGACTCACCCATAAAGGTTCATGAGAGAGAAGAAGCCAATAGGTTTTGAGCCAGAAGTAGTGTTGGAAGACATCTGAAAGAGAGAAAGACAAAGTTTAGATTATATAATGAGTCCTTAATATAACACCCAAAATGAAATATTAAAGCTAGGACCCAACACAATCTTTTACAAATTAGAAGAAGGATGCCATATTCCAACTTGCAAAATATTTGAAGGTAGGTAAATGACGACTTACCAATTTCAACCATAAAAAACGAAATTGATTATTAAGTTTTAATTGGATTGAAACTCCTAGATCCTTTGAGATTTATTGAACAATTCAATGGCATGTTTAAATCTCGATTATGCCCTTCAAGTTTGTGACTGACACATTAACATGCAAAATGTGCTTGGTACTCCCGATGTTATTTATCACCCAATCAATTTGTCGGTTAACCACACACGCTCCATTGATCTTATGATAAACATCGAACCACCATTTTCCACCCTTACTAGTCCAAGTTAATGTGTCGGTTAACTACATACACTCCATTAACGACTTGGCAAGGTGCAAAGTGAAATTTTCATGGATTAACATCAATTTCACATTTTCCTAAAGTAACTAAGATTAGGAATTTATAAAAGGTTTAGTTACTTTATAATTATCATTATACTTAATAAGAATTAATATCCTATCCTACCCATTCGGCTAACAACCCTCCACCAGTCAAGGAAGCGGTGAGTGAGAATGGACACCCATTAAACCACCATTTTATAGGTAGTAACCTTATACCCCCTTATAGACCGACTTCGTGAATGAGGCCTACTAATGGTAAGACTGACTTTATCTTATACACACACACACACACACACACATATATATATATATATATATATATATATATATATATATATATATTATTAAACTTATAATATTATAAAGTATAAGGGTTGAATTTTAAACGTTTAAAATTCTAGGGTCTGGAATTAAAGTATCTTAAGTGTGACTTAAAAAATTCCAAAACTTGAGGACAAGTTTTGATACTATTCAAAACTTTTCATATTCTTAACTTATGAGTTTAATGACTTTTATGAAAAAAAAGCTTTTTGTTTTCCATAACTTGAGAACAAGTTATGGAATCCATTAAAACCATTTAGATCATGCAATTAAACTAACAAGAAATGTCAAATAATATCTATGAGCTAGTTAAACTCATAAGCATAGATAATTCACATCAACAATTTTCAAGAAATCATATAAACTAATATAAATCTTGAAACTTTGACAATTATCTTTTAATTGGACAAGCATGATCATTACCTTATGAAAAACAAGTTTCATGGTTCAAAAAACAGTTTGGGGGTAATGATCCTAATCCAATTTCTGGCCAAAAGTTGAAAAATCTGCCCACTGGAGTACCAACTCGGCGAGTGCATGAACTGGACTCGTCGAGTTGGTCATTTTAAAAAGGGACTCGGTGAGTCACCCAGTGGAATCGGCGAGTTCACAGGGAAAAAGGCAGAAATTCGATTTTTTTACACTTTGAAAATCAATATAACATCAAGTATAATAGAAAACAACCATAGGCTCTGATACCATTGAAGGGTTTTAAGCATCCTAACAACCTTAAGGTGCACATACAACCCTAAATATCTTGGATCTATGTTTTCTCTAATTATACATGTAATTCTTCGAATGAAAGGTCTCACACTACAATGGTTAGACTCAAACAAGAGTTACGCAATAGGGTTAAACCTAACCTTCTAAAATTATCTAATCTCAGCTATATGTAACTTAGCGTATTCGCTTGCACAATCAGCATATAAAGGCATCTCTCCTAGCATTCTATCATGCAAGCCTGAGTAGATCCTTAGTCATAATCTAGCATGTGATTCATATATTCACAATTCAAAGCATATCACAAGAACATGTATGGGTATTTTGGGAAAACTTACTTGAGCTCGGTTGATTTCATGCACCACACCCTTTTCTTTTATTAAGGAATCCTTTAATTAAACATTTCTTTTTATGAAAAACTACCAAATCCTTAATTTGAGTCCTGATACACCTGAGAGTATGCTCGAATCCTACAAACCAATGCTCTGATACTAACTTGTAACGTTCTAAAACTCATAAACAAAATTTTGTTTCTATAGTAAATAAACTATAAATCAAACATGCTTGTCAAAACCATAAAATATTCAAAGTAAACCAGATAACATCCCAAAAATACATCAGAGTCAGTAAGCATAAAAATCATGGTGTGTGCAATGTGATCGTCCCGAGCTCTTCCCCTTCGATCCGGAGGTACCTGAAGCATACACTGAAAATTGTAAGCACAAAGCTTAATGAGTTCCCCAAAATACCACATACCATACATATCAAGCATACATTGGGCCCCGCCTAACATTCATCAGTCCCCTGCCTGGCATCGGGCATCGCCCGGTATTCATCGGGCCCTGCCCGATACAAATCTATCAGTAACATACGATGGGCCCTCCCAACATACTCATCAGGCTATGTCAGTAACATGTGTTGCATGTGTTTGTATAGATATAAACATATA